AGGTTGTAAGGAAGAAACAAAACAATGATATAGAAGGGAATTCTGCCCCCATAAAAGTATTCGAGAAATCGAAGGCTAATCACAGTGACAGATCAGTTATTTTTCATAGAATCAAGGAGAGCGAAAGCTCTGAACCAAAAATTCGTTTTGAGCATGACATTGTTCTGATAAAACAGCTACTTATTCAACTCATGCCTCAAAATATCGCCGGAGTCACCTTGCTAAAGGTGAACTTGAAGCCTAATCAATGCAGACTGCTTAAAGTAGTATTCAAATCTTCGAATAAAAAGGACTTAATTTTACAGAATGAACATATTTTAAAGGGTTCGGGAATTTTTATCCGTTAGGGCTTGCCGTTGGCAGAGCGTGTAAAAAGACGGGAGGCCGAAAATTAGGTTAGATGCTGGCGAAAAGGACCTAAAAATTGTAAATTTCCGGGTCGCGAGGCTTCGACAGATAATGATGCCGAAGCCACTCTGGGTGATGCACTAAGTCACTTGAATAGGCTTCAGATCTGTTACACTAATGCTCGAAGCTTGCTCAATAAGCGATCGGAACTAGGTGAACAGATCGACTCTACAAAGCCAGACATAATCGCAGTTCCAGAAACCCGGCTGACAGTCTATAGATAGTATGGAACTTGATTTTGAGGGTTTTACTTTAGTAAGGGCCGACAGAATACAAAATCGTAAAGGAGGAGGAGTAGCTCTATTCATTAGGAATGCTATCCCATTTGTCATTATCGACAGTGTATTCCATGAGAGTGGGACGTGTGAATTGGGACAAGAGCTGCTGATTTGTTTGGTCTATCGCAGTTCAAGCTGTGAGATAAATGATGTCCTGCTAAACAGGCTCAATACTTGGTCGCAAAGTGGTTGATGTCTAATCCTAGGGGACTTTACCTATGGTAGACTGGGAAAATCTGCGAACTGATTCGTCAGACAATTCCTTCAAGCAGGAACTAGTTGATGCGGTTATCGTATATGCCCTAGTGAAACATGTGAAAGATGCCACTAGGTACGACCCGGACTCTGAATCATCTCTACTAGATCTTATATTGACTCACTGTGAGGATGACGTTCCGAACCTCGATTACATGCCACCCCTAGGTAAAAGTGATGATGCAGTTCTAACTTTTGACTTCTAAATAACTGTCAATCACGAGCACGCGACAGCTCAATCCAGACCTAATGTCTGGAAAACAAGCATACCAGATATCATGTACACTGCATCGTCAGTAGATTGAGCAATAGACCTAGAGTCCTCAATTGAAACGGCTTGGGACGTATTTCGAAATTTATACTTAAAAGTTACCGCACTCCACATCCCTTGGACTACACCAAAGGGGCCGAGAAACTCCACATCACGGTTCACTAGGGAGGTTCGCATCCTTCTCAGTAAGAGAAGAAAAATGTGGGATAGATTTGGGTTACTGGGGACTGATGAGACGAAGTCTCAGTATCGAAAAGCTCGAATACCTGTGTCTCGACCCTCAGTAAGTCTAGAAAGCTGTACGAAGAGAAAATTGTTAAGGAATTTATAGAATGTCCTAAACGCTTGTATTCCTACATAAACCAAAAGACAAAATGAAGGGGAAATATTCCTGCGCTATGGAGAGACAGTACTGCCTCATCATTAGTGAAGGGCGACTTTGGTAAGGCTAAAGTATTTTCAAACTATTTTAGCAATCTATATACCGTAGAAACACCCTTCGCGTCAGCGCATACAAACCCCCCTCACACATACACTGGATAGCGTGACCATTAAAGAACTCGAAGTCTTTGGTCTGCTAAATAAGCTTGACATAAGTAAATCCACGGGGCCCGATGAATTGCATCCTAGGCTACTAAATGAATTATCTAACTTCGTTGCGAACCCTTTGAGTATATGCTTTAAGCTATCCGTAACGCAGGGTCGTTTACCAAAAGACTGGAAGAACGCCATAGTAATTCCTATCTTCAAAACAGGTACGAAACATAAACCTGAGAATTACCGACCCGTTAGCCTGACTAGTGTAGTTGTTAAAATCTTAAAAAAGATTATTCGGAAGGAGCTGTTTAAGTATCTCGATGTAAACTACTGCACACTGCCATGTAATAGCCGCCAAAGGTTTCAGAACTTTATGTTCAACACGTAGGGCTTTTACTCATGTCGAGGCTAAAACGTTTTTGACTTTGTATACAGCGTTCGTACGTCCTAAACTTGGGTACTGAATACAAGCGGCTAGCCCCTGCTTAAAAAAAGACAGTGAGCTTTTGGAAAAGGTCCAGAGAACAGCAACTAAGCTTATTCCCGGAATAGCGAAGCTTCCGTATGATGCTCGACTGGCCAAGCTAAACCTATTCCTTTTGTCATATCGTAGAACTAGAGGCGACTTGATTACAGTTTTCAAATTGCTTAGTGATAAATTTGCACCTGATATGCCCTCATTTTTCTTGTCTTCCAAAACAGAGAATTTACGAGGGCACTCCAGAACAAATTACTTGTCAGCTGACTATCGACTTTCCCATCGAATCATCGACGAGTGGAATTCATTACCTCAGCACGTCTTTGAGGCTCCATCCGTCGATTCCTTCAAAAGAAAGTTGGATCAACTGAGAGAACACCAATGCCAGGAACTAAAACAGGCCATCATGCCTCCTATCCTTTCCAAACTGAAACTGATCCTCAGTAGCTGATGAAATCTCATGCAGTGATTTTAATATACACATATCTATGTAATAAATAACTGATTTACCACTTACATCGAGAGGGATGTTTATACATTACAACAAAAAGAAGTACAAATTTTTTATCAAATATTCTGTACTGTTTATTATTTTCAAGTAGTAAAAATATACACGATAAAAATTAATTGCCGCATTTCAAAGTAATAACTTGGACTGGACGTTCACTCGACCCACACTTGATGTTATGTATATCAAGGAATTACTTTATCAAAACTTTGTGGGAACGATAAGCATCGAAAGGCTAGAACTATCATACAATACAGGATCACATATTCATCTTTTTTACTTATTCTATACACACATTCCTCATATTACATATAAGTTGATGACTTTAACATTAATTTAGAAATAAAAAAAGACTAGTGTAGTCATTGTCTACCAAATGAACAATCTTTGAAAGTCTGAATATTCAGTCCTTGAACTCAAGACCAATTTAACAAAAACTTATCAACAATCTGATTTACTCTGAAAACAGATTTCAGTGCCCATCAGTCTTTATTGACAGAAAACAGAACGAGCTATTTGCAACTTAAGATTCTATGCATTCCATCATTTTATGAATAAAACACTGGTAAACACAGAATACATTAGCAACCATAAAACTTTCAGATTAAAATAAGTAATACGTGACATGGTACATGTTGTGAGAATGTATAGATTATTGATTTAGGAACATTTATAAACGTTTCATTAATTTAGAAACCATTCCGATAACTGGGCAGAATTCAAAGTCACAACGAATTTCAGGTTGATACACAATTGCGTTTTCAAAAGTAGTTAGCAAACAGACTTTAATTTCTTGAAAAATGAAACACTTGTCTTACTCTTTACTAAATGTATTGTAGATTTGTCTCCTTAGACAACTGTATTTAGTATAAGTGTGTGCACTGTCTTTCGAGAATGAGCTTTCAAATGACTTACCATCACAGTTTGCCCAAATATTTGCTAATCTGCTTCAATCACATATTCAGTATTGAAAGGTAGAGAAAGTTTAGGCATAAACGACACCTTATGTACAGTTTCTTGCTCAGCTTTTCACATTCACACTATCGTTTGAGAACATATTAATGAAACATTTTATAAGAGTTGACCACGTTGAAAATGCATGAATTTATACATCCACTAACAAGATAATAAAAATTCATAAGGACGTTTGTCAGTTATTTTTCATGATAATATATCGCCTAGCAGCAATCAATATCATGTTGTACAGGCCTTAGTGTTACGTTTAGTACATCACCTTTAACAAGGGTTCAAATCCTACGCGGAGTATCAACTGCCTCAAGATTATAAACACATCTTGAGGACTTAAGCCTAAATTTAAGACTTCTTACTGGTTGTCTCTTTTCACTAAACATATCTTTATACGATACAGAACCCTTTCAATAAGAAGTATTGAGATCTACAACCTCAGATGCCTCCAAATGCCCTGGTATGGCCGAGAGTGCGGAGAGTCCGCTCTCCCTCTCCAAATGCTCTCACATGACCACGCGTATATAGCTCCTAACAGGGAAGTCCTACTCACTGCCTTCTCGTGACGCGGGTGTTGTTTACGAAAATGAGAGGACGAAAAGAGAATGTCTGGCGCTTTAACCGGATTCCAAACCAATGGTGCACATGGGATCCAGTATCCTGAGGGAACAAATGGCGTATGAATCAATCGTTGGTCACCGGCTACCATGGGACTGCATCTCCTCACGATGCCCCATTGCCTTGTGAGTCAGACCTTTAGGTCAAAGGCTCGGGGTGTGGCCTCCTAAGAAAACCACCTGCTTCGGTCTGGGCACCCGGGAAGTATCACAGCCCACACACAAATTAAATGGGATTTGTGTGGCGCATATGTATTTGGTGCCTCCTTGTACCAATACCTATGTGTTAAAATAAAATATAAAATAAAATAATACAACCTCAGATACTTGGTAAGAAAACGAGTGGTTTCAATGAACTTTTTTATTATATTTACGACTATCTGTAAAACCATCCAATGGAAGATGAGCAAATCATATATCGAAACTTATAAAATAAATATTGTAAATATTGTTTCACCGAAACAATTGAAGAAAAGAAATTATCGTAAGGAAACTAACTGTTAGATCTGTTTAAGGGAACCTATTCCATCAATATTAGTGAATTTTCACATTATATCTTTAGATCTTATTATTCAGAAAACATTGATTTACAGGAATGAAATAGATGTAAAGCATAAGGACAACTCCAGATAAATTTTTAAAAAGTTATATATGATATGAATTGAATGTGAAATTTGCTTACCATTAGCATTAGTCAGAAGAGTTAGATGATAAATAATACTCCAAAATATTATTAAAATTTGCAAGTCGCTAAAACGTCGAGGATATAACATGATTTGATTTGAAAAACTAAGTAAATTCAGCCATATATATATATATATATATATATATATATATATATATATATATAACAACCCTACAATTATATGACATAATTATAATGGTACACTATTCAATATTCGTATATACACATATATTCTGATAACGATGAACTTACCTATAAAATCAGTCTGTTTATTTTTCATGTATGAAATTATAAACTTTATTCATGAGAAATAGTCGGTTAACAACAGTTTAGATAAACATATTTTATAAAGAATTAAATTTTAGCGAACTATTCATGCACTCATTATTTGCCTTACGTTAATTTTCATGGTGGGGATATGATATATAAGAATTATGGAGACAGAATTATATTTACCTGCCAAAATAATTAACTACAAATGTTCGAAATACAATGCCTCATCTAATAACGCTAAATTGTGACTTATTTGCTTAGGAAGACCTATGTTAATAAGAATAACGTGTTTCACACTCAAAGGAAAACTGATTAACTTTATAAGATCATATAATGTTTTGTTGTGATGCGATGTTACTTTTCGCTCATCTAGTGAGGTCAGTATGAAAAATAGATAATGGTTGCGTTGAGGCTGGACTGAATTAACCGCTTGATTGTAAAACACAAAGTAGATGAGAATTGTAAAAACAGATAAAAAAGCATATTTAACTGCAACGATTCAAGTGGTTTCGGGATTATTTCTCGTTATCTTAGACAAGTCTCGTTAAGCGTGATACTTACTTAAGTAACAAACTTTTTTCAAAATTAAAGCAACTCCTGACTTTTAAATGGATGTTATACAGCATATAGCTCGGAAAAAAACACTCCAGTAACATGTTAGTATACAATCATTGTTGTTCCGACACTGTATACAGAAGCGAACAAACACCGTGTATTTAACATGTCTAGATTGGATTTCAAAGACTTAATAAATAATTAGCCTGAAAACCTACGTATACATCTAACATTACTCACCTACTGGATACATCACATGTTAGACATTTTCCATAAGATGGATTGATTAGATATTCCTAATATAACTATACTACCAGTAGTTTTATTTTACCTCACTTACTGAATAAACCTTTGTTTAAGGGCTATCGGCAATACCTAGATGACCAAACTATAGCAGATAGGACGAGGTCTGAACCAGTGTTTAGTGAGTCTAAGTCTAATTCTTTAACCACTGATTCACGCCCTCACTTCATGATCATAAACATACTCTGCAAGAGGGTGATTTTTCGAGAGGGCCAGGTTCTCTGGAACCTGATCAGCACAGCTTTCCAGTGGCACGATGAGGAGCATTTGTGGACCAGGTTTAAAATTGTGCAGCGCTATAAAATGTAGAGTAACACTTATCGTCATTATGAAGTGAGTTAATTATAAAAGCTACAACTAGATAGTTCGTCGTAGCTAGTTCATGTATGATGGTAATCCATATAGTTAATGTCTTAAATAAGGTACCTTCTAAACTCAAAGAAAAGGAAAGCACGAACTCATTGATTCCCCTTAGCAAGGGCTAATCCCCAACTAATATTCATTAGAAAATGTTTAAATATAAATTAGTCGGTTTATTGTAGCAGGCAACATGCAATCATTACATCTCGAAACTATACACATGTGATAAAGACGTCCCTGTCATATACAATCGTAGCCAAGTCATTGTTATTAAAGATAATTAAATATATATGAAACGGTGATTGATATTTCCCTTTCTTAAAAATAACTGAAATGTTAAGTATTATATTTCTGTAACTTCCTTTCCGAATGGGTATTCCCTTGCGGCATAGGTAAACCAAAATAAAACTCTGCTCTTAAAGTAACTCGCTCCCAAAAAATATGTAACTGTTAAGTCTCAGGACTTGAAATAGTGATTTTTGTTCGTTTTAATTCTCATCGAAGTTATTAAGAAAAACGGAACGACCCACTCCGTATGTCACACAAAACCTGAAGATAAAGCTTTTAATCATTTTTTCAAACATTTATCCCAATCTTCACATGAGTAATTAAACGTGATTGTCCTGTATTATTTAATAAACTACTTGAGAACGTTTAGTGATCGAAAATTCCTACTAAGGCTTAGTGTTGAAGTGAAGATAAGAATAACTTTGTTTCGCTCCCATTGACTACTCTATAAGGTCATTGGAATTGGCACGACTTTTATCCTCTTCTATTTCTCTTAGTGTTAACTAACTGTAATTGTTAGATACTTAGCATTTCAAACAGCTTATCGACCAGTGTCAGTACAGCTATTTCATAAACTCCGTAATATAAAAAACCGCTTCATTACAACCTGAAAGTCCCCTCAGTCAGTCAGCTGCAACGTAGAACCAGGCACGTATATGCATCGGTCCAAGTTGCCATACCGCATTAGCACAACAAGATGAACACCGGATTCATAGAAGTGGTTAATTCAGTGGTGGTAATATATAGAAGAAAGAGTGTGTATAAGGAGATAGTACAGGAAGATAGAATTAGTTCCTAGAAAGAAAGATTTGAAGTGATTTTAATCTCTTAGTTTAAAGGAAGACAGAGAGTGTATACACCGACGCCATTGTGATCGATTCTGAGCCATGTCACCAAGAGTATCCAACCATTGGTTACGATAGTCACGCGGACACCAACCAGGCAGTCTGAATCTACCAACATGGCTCAGACCAGAAGTTAGTGTCTTCAAACACTGATGCCACGTTTTGGTTTGGCCGTCCCTAACTTTCTTCTAATCATCCCTAACACCGGTTAGCACTGCGCGTCGTGGTAATCGGTGTTCAGGCATACGCAGCACGTGGCCCAACCATCTCAATCGATGAAGGTTCATAACCTCATCAACTGATTTACCATCATTCCCTAATACCCTGGGTTTAACCTCACTATTACTTACCCGGTGATCCCAGCAGATACCCGCAATATTTCTAAGGCACCTGTGGTCAAATTCTTGTAGCTTACGAGTATCTTCAACTCTTAAAGGCCATGTTTCGCAGCCATACAGTAGAACGGAACGAACTGCCGCGCAGTATACTCGTCCCTTAATTAATAGACGGATATCTCGCCTTAGCCATAGATGACGTAAGTTGGCAAAGGCCAAGCGAGCTTTTCGAATCCGTGCTGAGATTTCGTCAGACAACAACCCATTAGGGCTGATCAGACTTCCAAGATAAGTGAAGTTGTCGACGCGTTCGATTACTTCACTCCCTATCCTTAGTTCAGGTGTTGACGCAGACCAGTCCTGAAGCAACACCTTGCACTTGGAGGGAGAGAAGCGCATCCCAAACATTCTGGCATTGTTACTCAGTGCTACCAAAAGACTCTGCATTTCATCAGCGTCTTCACCAAACAGGACTATGTCATCTGCGTATTCTAAGTCAATAAGTGAACCTCCTGGTAGGAGATCAATACCTGAGAATTCAGTCGATGAGAGCGTTATTTCCATCAGTAGATCTATGATGAAGTTGAACAAAAATGGAGAAAGTGGACAGCCTTGGCGGACGCCACTTGAGGCTGCGAAAGCAGATGACAGTTCGCCATAAGCTCTGACTCGACTAGTAGTGTTCGAGTAAAGAGCTTTCACAAGGTTTATGTACTTCTGAGGTACGCCTTTCAATGACAGACACTGCCACAGAACTTCTCGGTCAACAGAGTCAAACGCTGCTTTTAAATCAAGGGAGACCACTATTGTCCCCTATTTGTCAAATTATAGTGCGTAGTTAATATAATCATTAAGTCACTTAACGTCCTACCTCACTTGATAAACATACACTCGGAACGATGTTTTCCGTGAACTATATCGGTGGAGAGGAAACACATTACAAGTACAAGACATGCATAGAAGTTTGTACACACCATATGGTTATTCAACAGTCAACTTTATAAATCCCAAGTATTCTTTCTCGAACCATCAGACTAACAAATTTATAATGTAGTTTTGTTGAAGATATTCCTGTACATTATTGCTATTAATAGATCTAAAAACTTATGAAACGGGGTACTTAGTCTGACATACTAGTTCTAAACAATGAAGACAAACAACTTGTTCTTATTAGCTCTCAGTGTTATAAAGACCAACAAGCACTAGAAATAACTTAGGGTATTACCTTGTCCCTTAAAAGTTGAGCCATACCGCAATATTGGAAAAAACCCCTACTAAGGTAACGATATACAGTACCTGAATATTACACACTAATATATTTAAAATATAAACGGGAACCGCAGCACGAACAACCTAGGCTTTACAGCAGGAGTAAAAATTCTGGACGTTTTTTTGTAACTGACTTTTGTACGGAATAAACAAGCAAAATGAAACCTAGTAATCACTCACGTATCAAGTCCAGAGATGCATCTATTGTAAAGTAAGTAAAGGAAGTGGAATTAAGACTTGAACAGCTACAACAAAGAACGCTAGTAGGTGGCATACAGTGATCCGATCTGAGGCACTCTACACATTCCTAACACTATCTCTACATAACTTTCAGGCCGATTCGGTGATAACTTCCATTAAAGAGGCAAAAATGAAGACATTCTGAGGTAAAGGAATTTATCAGTGTTCACTGATTAAGATATCTTGAGAGTAACTAGCAAAACATAAACACGAATTTGAAAAATATAGAATAGTTTGTGTACAAAAGGTAACATTTAACCGTATCTGAGGTACTATGATAAAAACTTGAGAATATAGAAAATATCAGACACATAAAATTCATCAAGTTTATAAAGTGGATACATTTAGTAGTCATGCTTAAAATTTGTTTTGAATGGAAAGATAGGATATTACTTTGAAGTCAGAGTTCTTCAAAAAAAATGGTTAGAATATAGTTTCACTGTTTTCACAGTAACGTCTCCATTAACATCTCATCTAGTTCTCATATTTTCTGTAGGGAAAAATTACAAAATTCAGTAAGGAATAGTGTCTATTTTTGGTTAGCAAATACGAAATCAAAGTTAATGCTCTGAAAATACACAAATGAGCCGATTAGTAGTGACGCAAACAGAATTGCGAAA